TCCACTAACCATATAAGAGTTGTGTAAGTACACAGCTTAGAGTAGAATTTAGTCTATGTTTGTGTTGTTATTTATAACAGGATATATGGCATTCTTTCTGAAATGGTATTAAGTATAAAAGTGGCTGTGACCTCTTTTCCACCTCCATTCCAGAAACGTTAATTAACTGAACGCAAGAAAAAGCAGATATATTATTAGTTTATGGTTTGTCACAAGCCATCCAAACACGTTCTCTCCTATTCTCTTTGAGTAACTGCTATGATTCAAAAGACTTTCTACTGATATCAGAGGATACAGCAGAATACATTCTTTGCAAAGCTACATTCATTAGCCCCTGAGGGGTTGTAAAGTAGGGATGGGGTATATATAGCCACAGCAAACAGCTGCACAGGACTGCTGAGGTGCTACTATTTGATGCTGCTATTATTTCAAAGGGGGCTGCTTCTCTGATCAGCTTTGATGAACTCCAGCTGTTTGGAGAAGCAGTGCCTTAGAAGTTAAAGCTTCAGCAAACAGCTGTAGCTGGTTCTTAATTGGGCAACCTGGTGTGAATTATTTTTCACTACTTCTGTTGAAATGCGTTACATTGAAGTTTAAAATGCCTTTTCACTAGGTTGCTTAAACAATTTATGTTTTCAACAGCAAGGAAAAAGAGGTGGAGGGAAGTAGGCATGGAGTGCTGGGGATAAAGAAGACATGATGGCCCAACTAAAATGATTCACAGTTTTCCCCGATTTGGCAAAATCTGCATGGTGGAAGATAGCAGATGGAATTCAGAGGGTGGGAATAAAAACATCTGATCTATCCCGTGTTCCTATCATGGTCCTATCATCCAGATGGTTTCCTTTTTAAAGATGCACTTAAAACTAAATAATACAAATGATAGATCAAATGAAATACTTACAAAACAAATAAAGCCCTCCCTGCTCTACTCGAAACACAGAGCAATACCAAGTGGACGTGTGTAGAAATAAAATGCATCAGTAAATATAAGTTTCCTACAAATTGAATATTCCAGGATATTTGTTGAATATTTGGAAAATCCCAGTCAAATTACCAGACATACATTCATGTGCCTTAAGTTCTTCAGGAATAATGTTGATAAAGTCCTTTTAATTTTTCTTACACTCTTGCTTTATTCAGTAGGTGCCCTTGGGCAAAAGTGGCCAAAGCAGCATGTATGATGCCTTTTAACTCTAGAGAGATCCCAAATAGAAAACCTTACAGAGTGGTGCTTGATTTTCCTTGTGTTCAGTATAAATGGAGTGGGAGGCAAATTGCTAATGGTAACAAATTGATGGGGTTTGGAGTTGGAAAAGTACAGAATAGTCCAAAAGCAGTAGATGGAAAATCAGTAATGGCAAGTGTGAAACACTGAAAAGGAATACTAAATTGAAGAAGCATTTACTTTTTCAGGAAGAGACAACATAAAAGCGAGCTACTTCAGTAAGGTGATTATACTGAGTAGGTGATAGAAGAGTGGCATCAGGGAATGAATGAGATGTGAAAAAGGGGAAAAATAAATCCTAGGATAGAGTGAGAGCGCGCGAGTGAGCTCATTCTGTGGTATCACAGACAGCCGTACAACCCAGTAAGTACAAACAGTCAAAAAGCCCACGACTGAATCGATGCAGTCTTTGCAAGCTGGTCTAAATTGCAGAGATTAAACCGAAAAACAACTGGACAGACATTTACTTTGATTCAGGATATGCAGCCACATGCCTGCAGTGGTTCAGGCCAGGGGGCACTACAGCACAGCTCTCTGCTATTTTATATGTTTTTGTATATGTTGTTGATCACTGTGCCCAGTTCTGATAATAATCCTAAATCTTGCCAAAATTGAAGATGCAATTTTTACCTATGAACAGAAAGCCCAAAAGGCAGACAATGAATTATGACAACAGACCAGACAGCAGGATTCTGAAAAATTTTAGTTTTCATATTCTCCAGAAGGAATCCCCCGGGGGGGGGGGGGGGGGGGGGGGGGGTTGGAGATCCGGGGGGGGGGGGGGGGGGGGGGGGGGGGGTGATGCAACAACTTTCTGCACTTGGAAGAAAAAAAAAAAAGTCAAAACAGGAATCTCTTTGAAAATGTTTGGGCCTGATCAAAACAGTTAAAAAACCTTCCTCGTCTCAAATGGGGTTTAAGTCTAGACCACAAGGAGCACACTGAATACACTGGAAACACATTTGTAAAGAAAATGTTTTTGAAGGACACAACTGTAAAATATGGCAAAAGATCAAAGCCTATAAAATAGGCAAACGTGCAACTTGTCTTGTTGAAGCTGCTCTGGCTATTACTAATGGCAGCATCAAGAACAGAGGGTGTTCATATTTTTAAAGTACTACTTATCCAAGTGGACCCATTTTGTCCTGTGAAAAAGCCTCTAAGGATATTGACCTTAGATATGACAGATAACGCAGGGATGTGTTTAAAGATTAAAAATATTTTATTTACACTTTTCTTTATACACACTTTATACATTTTTCCCCGTTAAAAAAAAAAAAACACGACGGAGCACATAGGCATGTCTAAACATATATCCATAGCTGAGGAAAGTTATTTTCTGCCAAAAACAAAGGCTTTTGTAAAACATTTATAAAAGGCTAAACTTAAATTATTCTAAGATTTTTATAGCAGTCGTTGGGTGGTTATTAGACAATCCAAAATGTACACAAAGATCTCTCTCTCTCTCTCTCTCCTGTCTCTCTCTCTCTATATATATAATAGGCAAAGAACTTCCAATTGCTACAGTACACGTGGCATAGTTAGAAAATAAAAGTTACCGTTACCTTCCTGGAGACATTTGTTTTGAAAACATTACAACCATCTGATACAATACACTGAAAATTCGAGACTATAGTGGGACTACATTCTTCAACGCACCAGAAAAAAAATGTTTTTAAAATGATCTTTGAAATAGCGTACTATATAGGGGCAAAAAGATTTCAGAAGGCTGGTTTGCTCTTCCCTTCACTTGTTCCGATAGCTTAAATTAATATTAGGGGAGTTCCCAGAGGAAATAAAAAGCCTACCCTACCTTAGCTTTTTTTCACCCCACCCCAAGCACTGCTGCTATTGCAATGTTATGTTACATTTCATTTTCTAGGCTTTTTCCAAACCAATTTTTACCAGAGCAGTATTTAAGAGTATCACTGGAAACAGAAAGTGGTTTACCCCTAGCTACCAACTCAATTACAAACAAAGCTATTTGAATTTTATCATTAAAAATATTGAAAGAGCATATAAACAAACTGAAATTTGGGGAAAGGGAGTGTCCAGGAAAGCTATGCTTAATAAATCTACTTTACTGCCATCTACTACATTTGCCAAGATTATAGATTCCATGAATGTTGTTCCTTTATTTTTATTCAAACACAGCATTTAACCTCTTATACGAACTGAAATTAAGTTACTAACAACTCCTGAAAAATAACATACCGAGGCAAAAGTAGTCATTAGTGTTTATTTTGAACATTGTCAGATTGTCTTACAAACATCATTAAAATCTCAAATGGTTAGTTCTAAAATACTGGTTAGCTTCTTTTTTTTAAATAGCAGATATCTTTCTATTTGGTTTTTTTAAAGTTGTTTTCACACCCCTTGAGGAAGTGTTACATCATGATGTAACATGCTTCACAAAGTACTGTGGTGGATATAAATGAAAAAGGAGAGAGGAGGAAGAGGAAAAGGAAAGTTTTTTGTTTTTTTTAAGGTTCCAATCTTGTAAACACTTCAGAATAGATTTAATTTTACATGTGAATATATGCCTTCTTTTAAACGGTTAACATACCTCTTCATTTTACATCTGTGGGATTACTCTCATATGTAAAATTAAGTAAGTGTTCAGGGAACTTGGGGCCAATTTTACTACTTTTGTTTGTTGGGGGGGAAGGAGAAGGGAAA